TCATGTCTTATAGCACAGTAGTATTCCATCACATTCATATACCACAACTTGCTCAGCCATTCCCCAATTGATGGGCATCCTCTCAATTTCCAATTCTTTGCCACCACAAGAAGAGCTGCTGTGAATATTTTTGTACATGTAGGTCCTTTTCCCGCTTGTGTGATCTCTTTGGGATATAGCCCTAGAAGTGCTATTGCTGGGTCAAAGGGTGTGCACATTTTTATAGCCCTTTGGGCATAGTTCCAAATTGCTCTCCAAAATGGTTGGATCATTTCACAGCTCCACCAACAATGCCTTAGTGTTCCAATTTTCCCACATCTTCTCCAACATTTATCATTTTCCTGTTTTGTTATGTTGGCCAATCTGATAGGTGTGATGTGGTACCTCAGAGTTGTTTTGATTTGCATTTCTCTAATCAATAGTGATTTAGAGCATTTTTTCATATGACTTTAGATGGCTTTAATTTCTTCATCTGAGAACTATGTGTTCATATCCTTTGACCATTTATCAATTGGGGAATGCCTTGTATTCTTATAAATTTGACTTAATTCTCTCTATATTTTAGAAATGAGGCCCTTATCAGAGAGACTGGTTGTAAAAATTCTTTCCCAATTTTCTATCTTCCTTCTAATCTTAGTTGCATTGGCTTTGTTTGTGCAAAAACTTTTCAATTTAATGTAATCAAAATTATGTATTTTGCTTTTTGTAATGTTCTCTATCTCCTGTTTGGTCATGAATTGTTCTGTTCTCCATAGATCTGACAGGTAAACTGTTCCTTGCTCTCCCCATTTGCTTATAGTATCAGCCTTTATATCTAAATCATGAACCCATTTTGACTTTATTTTGGTATATGGTGTGAGATTTTGGTCTGTGCCTAGTTTCTGCCATACTCTTTTCCAGTTTTCGCAGCAGTTTTTTTCAAAGAGTGGGTTCTTATCCCAGAAGTTGGGGTCTTTGGGTTTATCAAATAATAGATTACTATAGTCATTGACTACTGTGTCTTGCATATTTAACCTATTCCATTGATCTACCACTCTATTTCTTAGCCAGTACCAAGCAGTTTTGATGATTGCTGCTTTATAATACAATTTAAGATCTGGAATGGCTAGGCCACTTTCCCCTGCAATTCTTTTCATTAGTTCTCTTGATATTCTGGACCTTTTGTTCTTCCAAATGAATCTTGTTATTACTTTTTCTAACTCTATAAAATAGTTTTTTGGTAGTTTGATTGGTATGGCACTGAATAAGTAAATTAGCTTAGGTAGAATTGCCATTTTTATTATATTAGCTTGGCCTACCCATGAGCAACTGATGTTTTTCCAGTTATTTAGATCTGATTTTATTTGTATGAAAAGTGTTTTGTAATTGTGTTCATACAGTTCCTGGGTTTGTTTTGGGAGGTAGACTCCTAAATATTTTATAATGTCTACAGTAAGTTTAAATGGAATTTTTCTTTCTATCTCTTGCTGTTGGGCTTTGTTGGTAATGTATAGAAATGCCGATGATTTTGTGGATTTATTTTATAGCCTGCAACTTTGCTAAAGTTGTTTATTATTTCAAGTAGTTTTTTACTTGATTCTCTGGGATTCTCTTAAGTATAACATCATGTTATCTGCAAAGAGTGATGGCTTTGTTTCTTCTTTGCCTATTCTAATGCCTTCAATGTCTTTTTCTTCTCTTATTGCTAAAGCTAACGTTGAGGAGGCTTCACTTCTGAGAGATCATCTCTCACAATTCCTCCTCTCATTTCTTACAATTTGAAGCCTCCTCACACCATTGTTGGAACAATTCCTCCACTAAATCTTCCTGAGAATCACCATCAAGGTGGTCTCGGACTGGCACCCAATCCTGACTCTTCAGAACCATCAGCCTGATTTCTCCTTTCCCTTCTATCTTAACCAAGTGAGACAGGGAGTCTTGGCTATTCTCATTATCAGTTGCATCATACAGGGGAGACACACTGGGAATAGCATAATTCCACTGAGAGCTATTGGGAGGAACCAGAGGGCTTGTTTCCACCAGGACCCACTAAATCAGGAGACCCAAGAAGTGTTAAAGGGAGAATTCCATGTCTGGACAGGGACATGTGCTAATTTAAAGGATTAATTTCCTACAGACACCTCCCTCTTCTGCACCTGTACTGGTCAGGGAGGTATCAATACTCCTACTTCTGTCCAAACTTTCATACGGTCTTACTCCTAAGAAACCTCCCATCTGCCCTGACAAATAGAAAAACTTTGGTTGGACAAGCCCGATGTAATAACTCCCTGTCCAATCTGTGGGTAACCAAGTACAAACACAGGCACCCCATCATTCTATTCCCTCCTTAAACAGATGGGACCTAAAATCTTTTGGGGTAAGGGACAAAGGTCTCAGCTTCTGAAACTGCTTCCTGCTGGGATTGGGTATAGAGCTGTCCCAGTCTTGTGGGGTCCCTCCATTCAAGGGGTTGGTGCTTTAGCCAGTGTCTGAAACTTGGCCGATGCCAAGTCCAAGGGGTGATGCGTAGTGGTCTCAGACAGAGGTTGGAACACTATATATTGAAGAGCAAAAGAACTGGGGTTATGACTGAAAATATCATGTCCAGCAAAATTAAGTATAATCCTGAACAACCAAAAAAATGGACAGTCAATGAATTGACAGAGTTTCAGGATTTTATTGCAAAAAGACCAGAACTTCATAGAAAATTTGACACACAAGATCAAAGAGAAATATAAGGCAAACATAAAAAACTAATTATAAGGGACTTAATAAGGATAAATTGTTTACTTTTTATATGTGGAAATGCAAACTATGTCTAAGATTGTCATTAGCAATTGGGTATATTGGAGTAGAGCTGAGTATGATGTGATTATAAAAAGCAAAAAGATGTAGGAAAAGATAAAAAGAGTAATTATCTGATATAAATGAGGTACAAGAGGAAGAACTGACACAGAGGAATCAGATGGCGGGGGAGGGCTGAAAGTTCTGGAACCCTAAGAGGGAACAATACATAAATGTCTGGAAGAGTGTAAAAGTCTTCTAAATTCAGAAAGAAGTAAGAGGGTAAGGGGATAGGGAGTGGGGAGAGGATAGGATAAGGAGGGACACAGAAGGGTGTGTAGATTAATGGGAATGGGATTAAGAGGGTACAACATCGTATATGAGCTCAAGTGTATATGTGTGTGTATGTATGTTTATGGGTGTGTGTGTGTGGCAGGGATGTATATAAATATACTCTAGCTTAATTGTAGCCTTCTTGAGGGGGGTGGAGGAAAAAAGAGGAAAAAATGAAGTGAAAAGTACACAGCAGAGGACAAAAGAAAACATACAAGGAAGCAAAGGTGGACAGCTTTGAAAATAATGTGTAGTATTCATTATATAGGTTTTCTTGAAAGGAAATTTATTGCTTTATATTGAATCCTCTCTTATGTTGTACTGTGTACACGGCAATTTTTTTTTCTTATTTTGTATTTGTTTAAAATAAATTTAAAAACTAAATTAAAAAATATTTTTGTACAAATAGGTCCATTTCCCTTTTCTTTGATCTCTTTGGGATATAGACCTAGTAGTATACATATTGCTGGGTCAAAGAGTATACACCGTTTTATAGCCTGTTGGACATTGTTCCGAATTATTCTCCAGAATGGTTGGACTAGTTCACAACTCCCCCAGCAGTGCGTTAGTGTTTCAGTTTTCCCATATCCCCTCCAGCATTTGTCATTTTCCTTTTCTGTCATATTAACCAATTTGATAGCTATGAGATAGTACCTCAGAGTTGCTTTAATTTGCATTTTTCCAATCAATAGTGATTTAAAGCATTTTTTCATGTCCCTATTGATAGCTTTGATTTTTTTCTTCTAAAAACTGCCTGTTTATATCCTTTGGCCATTTATCAACTGGGGGATGGCTCTTATTTTTATAAATTTGCCTCACTTCCCTATATTTGAGAGATGTGACCCTTCTCAGAGAAACTTGCTATGAATTTTTCCCCCAACTTTCTTGTTTTCCTTCTATTTAATTTCATGTAAATAAAATTGTCCGTGTTGTTTCCTGTGATTCCTTCTGTCTCTTGTTTGGTAAACTCATCCCTTATCCATGGAGCTGACAGGTACATTTTTCCATGCTCCCCTAGTTTACTTATGATATAATGTATGATATTATTTATGTCTTAATCATTTGTCTGTTTTGACCTTGTCTTGGTATGTGGTGTGAAATGTTGGTCTATTAACTAGTTTCTACCAAACTGCTTTCCAGTTTTCCCAGAAATTTTTGTCAGATGGCAAGTTCTTACCCCAAAAGCTTGAATCTTTGGGTTTATCAAACACTAGATTACTATGTGTTTACTACTGTGTATTGAAATCACATAATTTTTTGCTATATTAAATACTATTAAGCTTTTCCTTAGGTGAGCAGAGTGGTGAACGAGTCCTTCCTGTTTTTGAGATCTATACTTTAGAGAGACATTGTCTTCCTCCAGAACAGAAATAGACATGTCCTTGGTTTTGCTTTTATTTAGCAATACCCACAAAGATATATGGGCTGTGGGGGCCAGTCCCAGTGCAGATGTGATATGGCTGTCTTTGGTCCCTCCAAGTGCCAAAGGTCATGGTTCTCAGGCTTATATAACCATGTCCTAATAGAAAATATGAAGCAACTCTAGTTAGAAATGGTATGTCTAACTGCTTTATTTCTGGGCTTTTTTACATTTGAAGGGGCTCTGCTCTGAGAAGAGGTAATTTCTTTTTCACTGCTAATTTTTGATTTGTTGGTTTCTAATGTCATGGTTGGCTGAGAGGGCAAAAAGGCAGGTTTTGCTTATAAGTTATATTCAGTACACCTGTGCCCTATTTCATATATGCATATAACAACAGATAAGTACATCTTATCTCATAATGCATATACATATCTTACTTACACAGTGATACCTTTTTGAGTGATTGTATATTCTTCAACTTAATTTTTATTTTGAAGTATTATTACTTGGATACTACTGAAATGCTCAACTTTTTTTTTTCCAGAGTCTTTAGAAGAACAAGATGTAGCTATTAATTACACAAATCAGACAGATGAAAAAGCATCAGATACAGAGCAGACAAGTCAAACAAATGAAAAAGCATCTGGTCCAACAGAACAAGAAGACAGCATAGCAGGGGAGGCTGAAAGTAAAGAAACTACAGTTAATGAAGCCAAATCTACAAATTCTAATGCTGATTCTACTGCTGTTGATGAACCAAATGGAGAGTCTTTGATGGAAATTGAGTAAATGCTTCCAAGTGCCTTCAACTAGATCTTTGTAACTTTATTGGTGTCAGCTATTGCTTTCCAGGTGGTGTTTCTTTTTTTTTGGTTTTTTGTTTTTTTTTGGTTGGTTGGTTTCAGTTTTTTAACGGTCCATTTGGTATCTGAGCTCTGACTGCCTAGCTATTTCAGTCTGTCAAATCTATCTACTAGGTATTTAAAGTTGAAAGGGTATGCTATCAGTGCAATAAAACCCTATAGAATGTGCAAAGATTAGCATTATGACAGCTTCTTCTAAACATATTTTGGCCACTTTAAGCAAATGTGATAGCAAGTTTGTTTTCTCATACACATGACCTGTAAATAATATCTATTTTGTCAGAGGAAGAACTTTGATTAGGAAGAACTATTACAGCATTTGGTTTAAAGAATGAAAATCTTTTAGGATTCTTAATACTTTAACATTAAAAAATGGATGGAATTTTTCAACTGTAGATATTTGCTGGATAAAGTGTATATTTAGGCACTCATCTTTGAACCGTATAAAGTTATTCTGTAACTGTAACTATAGACATTGTTGCATAAATATTTTTAATAAGAATACAGTTGAAAAGTCAAATGCAGTATTTCTTTTGATGTCACTCACTTTTGATGTCACTTACTTTGCGGATGGGCCAAAGGCCCATGTTTATGTATCTAGCTAGTGTTTACATGAAGACAAAATAGAAAATTTCTCTACATTTGATTGTACTTGAATGCTGACCATTATTTATACTTGTATGTTAATGATGTAAGTGAATTTTTGTGCCTTTGTGTGTGTATTTTGTTAAGGAAAATAAAGACTTACCTAGCAGCATTTAAAAAATTTTAATTTTTGTTAAACATTGAGAGTTTCTGAAACAGCCTTTGGACATGTGCTTTCATCAAACTATGAAATTTCATAATGTGAAAAACTCTGAGTTGATAAGTCTTCAGGCTATTTGTTCTTTTTTTAGGGAATGTTTGTGTTTAAATTAGTTGCTTTTAAATTTTGGAAAAAAATAAAATGAAGCGTATATTTATTTCATCATCTTCTAAATCCTTTTAATCTAGCATAGGCAGAGTTCGCCTAGCATGGTTAATTGGTTCCATAGTAACACATTTTAGGTAAAACAACATCATGAAAGCCAGTTATAGGACTAGAACTGAGCAGAATAGAAAGCAGGAGCTACCCAGGTAGCAAGCAGGAGCTATTTAGGTAAAAACTTTATAGTGGAGTTTGGTTATAATGTTCTAACAGTTTGTAATACTCTTAATTTATTTGGAAGCATTAGCAAAATATGAATCCTCATGCCTCTAGATCAGAAGTTACATTTTTAAGACATTAAGAATACTTCAGTGCCACTTGGAGCTATGTGCTTTGGTAAGAAAGTTTATTACTATGATAACAGATAGTTACTTGCTGGGACTTGGGTCACAGTTTCCTACAATGTTACTGAGGATTAAATGGGGAAAAGATGAATATAAATAATTCCTTAAGATTAAAACGTGGAAACAGATAGTTCCAAGGTCTTGAATAGAGTTTTTACTCTAAGATTAAAGTTGTTATTTCTTGTTTCCTTGTAGATCTTAAAAAATACTAAATCCTTTTGGTGCCAGCTGATTGTCAAAAAGAGTTGAAGTGAAGCTGTTATACAAAATTGAATGTATTCAGTATATGTAACAGCTGTTTCCTAAATTGTACACATATGCCTCATTAAAAACTGAATGAAACATTATCCTGAATTTGTTTTAACTTTTGTCATTCACATAGTATAATATGAATCATGTTATGAGCTTTATCTGTTAACAGGTATAATATCACTATATAATACAGAAAGAGAGTCTGCAGACTGAATTTGTTTGCAGAAACTAAAAAGAAGAGAAAAGCATTGGGCTTGGGGCAATCTAAGCCAGAACTATAGGGTCATAAATTTAGAGCTAGAAGGGCCCATAGATAGACTCCTTCATTTAGTTCTAGGACTCATCATCTTTTTCTTTGCTACCATTACATTTTTTCATATTTAAAATTTTTAAATGAGGGGCACAGGAAACTAGGAATTTCATCAAAACAGTATTTTTTGTTAATGAAGTTATTAAGGTCCCTAATTGTGCTTCATTTGGTCCAAATAAGTTTCATCCACATTGTGAATAATTTTCTAGTTTTTGATTACCACTGAATTGAAAGGCATGTATATCATAGGTGAGTAAAATTTCATGACTGAACCAAGAAAGGATTGGAAAAATGTATAAGCTCAAAAAGAATCTACCAAATAATATTTTATGATGATCTAATATCCTTGAATGCAGAGAAATTTATTCTGACAAAGTTGTAATGAAGAATTAACTACTGGAAAATTTAGTGACATTGGCCTTGGAAACCAAGAAAAATTCATATGAGAAAAGCCAAATTATTAGACATTTTAAACAAAATGTTAAATATTTTGTTGTATGTGTAAAGCATCTTTGAATCATGGAAGTGGGGAGGGCCCTTGGATATAATCTAGTCCAACTCATTCATCTTCCGGATAAGGAAACTGAGGTCTAGAGAGAGAAAATGATTTGCCCAAAGTTATAAAACGAGTGGCAGAATCCAGACTAAAAGTTAGATCTTTTGACTCCTAGTGAAATGTGCCTCTAACCGTACCATATTGTCTCTCAGTGAACTGTTTTATTAATAATAAACAGAAGTCATTGGACTAGCTTATTTCTAGCTCTTTGGTGAATCTGTGAGGTTATTTATCCTAGATGAGGTTCATATGTAGGTTGGATTAGATTGCCTTTTCTAACTCTGAAATTCTGTGATTGTTTATAATGATATGGTTTCATTTCTTGCTTCCTCTGACAAAATGCTTCAAGTATTTTAAAGCTAGGTCTGTATTTAAAGAGCAAAAGAAATATTAGTTTTGAAAATACAAAGTACTTTTTTTTTAACATCATCTTAAATTTTGTGTGCAAATAGTAGTTTTAAGGGCTAATTATAGATAACTTCTGGAATCACAGGCAGTTGTTTTAAAAAAGATGATGGAAAGAGAGAGCTGTCTTAGGTAGCTGGACAAAAATAAAACATTACCTCTTGATGGCATTTTAAGAATAACATTTATGAGTGCCTAAAAGTCCATCTATAGTGGCAACAAGGAAGAATTTGTTTGGGCTCATCTCTTGGTTCACAGATGAGTCCAAGCAGAGATGGACTATAGGAAAATGGACTGCTTATACCTTACAGAGCCTTTTGTTTATGATTTTGAAAGTATAATAGTAATCTTTTTTGCTCTTAAAATCTCTGTTGTCCTTGGGGCTGTCAGACCAACAAAATAAAACTTTTTGTTATTGAAAAGGGAAGAAGTATGCTTATATAATTGACATCGGAAAAAGCTTGAAGAAAATAAGCATCATTGCTAGGATCTTAGAGCTTTCAATCTATGATCCATGTGAAAATGATTATACTTGAGTACTTTAAAGAACTGTAATTTCTTCTGTACATGTGATCTCACCACTTATTTAGATGGCAGTGACTCTATACCTTATATTTTCTTTGGACGTTGCTAAAATAATAGTACCATGAACCTTATGGCCAATCTGAAGGTGTCTGTTGAAATTTAACTAGGCTGATTGTCATATGACTCCCACACAGTCTGTCACTATTACTGTACTTTGAAGCCTTTCTCAGTTGGTATGCTGCTAATGTAGCCTTCAAGAATACAATGAGTCATCAGAATAAGACTTCAGTGGAAGATAAAAACAAATACAAAATTAAAATGAGTTCTGGCTTCATTTGAACTTAATGCATATTAAAACCAGTCATTAAAATATAACCAAATGCTTGAGAAAATTTTTACTTAGCGAAGTGAAATTGTATTTTAACTTCTGTCCTTCTACCCTGTAATTCCCTAAATTCTAATCCTGGATTGTCTACTTTTATGCTACTTTCCTCAGAGCAAACTGATTTTTATTTTCTTTTGAAGTTAGTGATGTTCCCTTCCCTGTTGTATTTCCCCTTCCCTCCCTCCCCAAGAGGTTAGGGGAGTGGTGGTGGAGGATTTTAAGTCCTTGGTAATACCCCCTTTTTGATTATAGTTTAGATTCCAATTTCTTTTGTTTTATACTGCATACCTATTACTACAGTGTTTTGAGGGAGGACTCTTTATGTAGCTAAACATTATTTAGTACTATTACAAATCTGTACATGCTGCTTTGGAGAGGGGAACATATTGTTCTCAAATATTTTTATTTTTTGACAGTAAAATCGCTAGAGTTAATCAACAGCATATATTAAGCACCTCCTTTGTGTCAGGCACTGTGCTTGCCAGGTGCCAAGGATACAGACAGGAATATGACAATCTCTGCCCATGGGGAACTGAAGTTCTATTTTGGAAGATAACATATACATATATAAGTATATATGGAATAAATATTTGCAGAACAAATGCAAAATAAATACAATGTAGGTAAATACAAGTTGGGAAGGGATCAGAAAAAGTATCATGTCAAAGGTGGTGCTTGAGCTGCATCTTGAAGGAAAATTAGGTATTCTCTGAGGGAGAGGTAAGAAGGATGTGCATTCCAGGCAAAGGGGTGACCAGCATGAAGTTGGGGATACAGGAGGCGGAGTGCCATGTGAGGAACAAGTAGAAGTCCAATTTGGCTGGACTACAGAATGTGAAAAGGAGAATTATGATGAGGTCATGAACCTGGTGTTCAAGAATGATGCTACCTTGACATAAATAAGGTAGTTTGATAAAGGGCAAAAGATAATGTTTTAGGTATATTAAGTTTAAGATACCTTCAGGTCATCTAGTTAGAAATGTGTAATAGGTAGTTGGTTGATGTGAGACTGGAGTTCAGGAAGAGACTGCAGCTAGATATGATAGTTAAGGGAGTCATGCATAAAATGATACTGTAATTAAACTCATGGGAACTGGCGAGCTCACCAAGAGAGAGAATATTGAGAGAATAGAAGACGACTCTGGACTGAGCCTGGGGGTACATTCTGAGTGTAGAATATGAGGAGAGAGTTATACTGCAGTAGAGAGCTCAAGAATGATGAGTACTGAGACCATCAGATTTTGTAATTAAGAGATCATTAGTAATTGGCGAAAACAGGCCTAGTTAGGTGATCAGATCTGAAGCTAGAATGCCAAGAATTGAATGAGAAATGAAAAAGTGGAGGTAGCTAAATGGCTCAGGGGATGGCCTTGAAGCCTGAAAGACCTGAATTCAAATCTTGCCTCAAAATACTACGTGATCTCAAACAAATCAGTTAACTTTTCAGGTTCTGTTGCCTCATCTGTAAAATGAGCCTCTTCCAGCTCCAAATCTACAATCCTAAGCATGTAGACAACTTTCCTAGGAGTTTGAAAAAGGGAGGAGAAGACAGTAATTTGAGAGGATGGTAAAGTCTAGTGAAAGCTATTTAAGAGATGAAGGAAACTTGGTCATATTTGAAAGCAGTAAGAGGAATGATGAGAGATTCAAAATTAGAGAGGGAGGGATGATTGAAGGCCAATCTGCTAGAGAAGCTGGAAGGGGTTGAACGGGATCAAGGACACATATAGAGGGTTTAGCTGTGGCAAGGAGGAGGACCACCTCATTATTAGACACTAAAAGGAAGAGAGAAATATCAAGGGGTTTTGAAATGATGAAAAGGGGAGAAGAAAGAATGCACTGGGATTGGCATCAATTTTCTATGTAAATTACAGGGTGAGATCCTCAGCTAAAGAGCTGCAGGGAGGGGGGGAAGAAAGAAGAATTTTATCTATGCTATTTGAAATGGAATTTTATAGCACCAATCGGCGGTGTATAGCTAGGTCCTGATTAGTGTATGAATCTTCTGAAGTGGTCACATGTATTTGAATTTGCACTATTTGAAAACATAATTATGTAAAATATGGTAGTTTCTTCCCAATGGAAATATATAGTGCAAATTTGAATAATACAACCATTTCAGGGGAGTTCATTATTTGGACTAATTGGGACCTAGCTGTACTATAATTATATGGGGAAAAACCTCTGCCGTAAGAAGGAACTAGGGCTTATGTGAACATATGAGAGGGCAGAGTTCAAAAGAGGCAAGACCCAGAAAAGTGGAGACAGTTGATATAACAAGAACAAGTATTAAGCCAATAATTTGACTCTTGCTTGTCTTTTATCTTTCCTATACTCATTATTTCTTTGGATGTGGTTATTGACCTTTTAATGAGACTTTTAGATCTATTATACTTCCCCCCCCCCAAATGATCTTCCTCTGTAGGTTGGAATGGAGTCTTACAAAAGTTATTAAGCATCTAGGTGGCAAAGTAGATTCAACACTGGGCCTAGAGTCTGGAAGACCTGAGTTCAAATGTGGCCTCAGACGCTTTTATAACTGTTATAAAAAAATAACTGTTTTATCTTGGGCAAGTCATTTCACTGCTGTCTGCCTCAGTTTCTTCAACTGTAAAATGCAGATCATAATAGCACCTACCTCAGGATCGAATCAATCCTGTGGATTGAATGAGATAATATTTGTAAAGTGCTTAGTACAGTGCCTGGCACGTAGTAGCCCTAGTGACACATTAATAAATATTTACTCCCATCGTTCCCTTCCCTTATTAATTTATCTGATGACAAAAGAAAGATGAAAGTACTTTTGAAAAGGTTGGGATATGGAATATCTTTTATTTCTTGTCATGACTACATGATCACCTTAATATCAGAAGGAACCTTGCAGTGCAGTGGGGATTTGTAGGA